TTCCCTTAAATTGAATGTTTTCTCTCTTTAAGCGTGAAGGCGCTTGTTCTTTTATTTGGTGAGAGAATCAAAGCAGCTCAGACAGATTGCACAGCATTGTTTCTAATCAAATGAAAGGAGATAACTCTGTAGTTTGAAAGTGAAACCCAGCAGCGGTTCCAATGAAAACAAATCTCATTAAGTGTAACTATTTTTTTCTATTTATATTGCCTTGTTTTCCAGCTCCTTGCAAATTGCTGTTTCTTCCTTCTTCTTTTGTAGTTCTAACAAACCAAAGTGAAACTGAACTTTCTTTGATTGCATTTACAACATCATCCAAAAATTCAGTGACTCATATCATATGGAAGGTACATGATCTAAAGACTCAGTTGTGTGAACTTTGTAGAAAGTTTGTTGTGTGGTATTATCAATACTTCTTCCATAACAAATGTGGCTGAAATACTTTCAAAGGAAATGTCTTATAAAATTTCAAGAGAAGATGTGGTTGGAGCCCTGCTGAAGTGCTTTCTGTAAAAATATAATTCTTAGCAAGTGCTGATTATTAAATGCCTTTGCCAGTGTATATATTTTATTTTTAGTAATGATAAATGTAGATGTTTGCAAAGCTTCTTTTGCCTGTGAAGTGTCCTACCAAACTGGGATACAGTTCTACTGTGAAGCAGAGACAAGAGTTATGTTGATCATTGGTCACTTGTTACTGCAAAAATCGCACCAAAAGTCTGCCTTTAAGAAATTATATCTCCCATTACTAATACATTTTTATAATGTCTTTGTCAGAATGACAAATATTGGTCTGATTTGCCAATATATATATTAACAAAGAACCAAATACCTAACCTAGTTTTCAGAGTGGCACTGGTAATCCTGTGGGAATGGTAGTGTTTGCACACAGCAAACTTGCATGTGGAAAATCAGAAATTTGTGTGCTGTGATCATCTCTGTACCTGCAAAAGAGCTTTAGTGTGTAAGTATTAAATATGTAAATAGGAAAGCAGGTAATTTGAAAGTACTTCTACTATCAGCAGGAGAGGGCAGTAAGAACTGTGTAGTGTCAGTTGATTAGGTATTTCTGTGAGAAGTGTTCCTGTGAAAAAGAAAGGACTGTGTTTTTAATTGCCTCATAACACTGCAGACTGAGGGCACTTGGTTTGCAGTAGATATTCATGGATGGAAAGCGAAGATTTTGGTGTGCATGTTTAAAAAAGGATTTCCTCTGAACAAATTGGATTCTTCTGCATCAGGTGATGCATGAAATACCAGTTCCTTAAAAACTGCAGTTTTATACAAGGTATAAAATATACCAAAGTGACTGTCTGTAATTCTAAACAGTGAAACACACACTTCTGTTGGCAACTCCATTTTTACAGGAGAACGTAAGGAAGTGCTTTAGGATAAAAAGTGCAATAAAGTATTACAAACAGATTGGTGGAAATGCCCCATGTCTTAGCAATTGGGAAGGGAGGGGATCATTCCAGATTAAAAAATATAAAGAATACTTCTGTTCTCTGGAAACTTAAGGAAGAAAAGAAAGAAAGAGGGTGGGATAGTGAGAGTATAAGTAAATCAGGTTAGAGGATGGTAAAATCAAAATTACAGCATGCCTTTATACCCAGTGAACAGAGAATTTTGGAAATCAAAACTACCATAATTTCAAACAAGATATGGAGATGACAGACATTTGGTGCTGCTGAAAAACAACTGATAGTAAATGGAAATTAAAGACAACTCCTAAACACTGGTATTTTCCACATTCACAGAATCACAGAATGGTTGAGCCTGGAAGGGACCTCTGGAGATTGTCTAGTCCAGAGTCAAAACAGGGTCATCCATTGCACAGTGCCCAGGGCTGTGTCCCTTTGGGTGTTAAATATCTGCAAGGATGGAGCCTCTACAACTCCTCTGTTCAGCCTCTTCCAATGAAAAAGGTTTTTCACAATGAAAAAGGTTTTTTTTCTTATTGTTAAATGGAATTTCCTGTATTTCCACTTGTTCTCATCAAGAAACTACACAAAACACTAAAGCAACTGTTAGCCCTAAACACTGCATTTTCAGTAAGGAATGATTCTAGGATTCTTCTCCTGCTATCTTATATAATATTGGGTTTTGAGCAGAAAATTGCTTTTTACTTAGGAAAGAGAATTTGACCTTTAGAGGAAAAATCTGAAAATTTCTGTGCAGAAATATGTTTTGGTCAACTGCCACTGAATAATTGCAACCTTTCAGCTGATTGCTGTCAGATACTTTTTATGAGAGGAAAGCTACTGACCTACCTAGTCGGGCTTACTTTTAAAATTCACGCTTGTCTCACCTCTGTCAGCATTGCCAGAGCGTAAGTGGTTAAAGGTAACCAGTGCCTTCAGATTTGGATCTCCTATCAATTCATTTTATTTTGGGTAATTGCTTGCTCTTGACATCTGGTGTGATTACTTCTATCACACTGCTTTTGTCTCTATTTCCACCAGACATCTGCCCTGCAGACGTTGTTTTCAGTGCCAGAAAAGTCTAGAAAACCTGAGTTCATCTCAGCTAGAGAGCAGACTACAGAGAGAATCTTAGTGAGCATAAATCAGTTTGTGGTTTCCATAATGTTCTTACTCATTACATGTGAACTGCTAATTTACCTAAAACTATAAATTGTGTCATGTTCACCGAGATTTCTCTCATTTTTCTTCATTCTCTCTCAGTTGTGTATTTTGCCACATGCAAAAATGATCACTAGATCATAGCATCCCAAAGATGCTGTGAAGCAGCAAGGACTGTTTCCCTAGCATTGGCAAAAGGCCATTGTCACAAAGATGTTTTGAGAAGACTTCAATTCTGAATAATGATAATAAAGAATATTCCTTCATTTGCTGGATAATGACCAGCTGGTGATTACTTACACAATAACTTTGTATTTCTATTCTGTGGAATGTTACTATACTGATGAATTTGAAAGCTGTGTAAAACAAGTTAGCAGCTTTTTGGTTCTATTTTATTTAAAATCGTTGCTTTTACTATCTACTACAAAAAAAATTTGAATATCATGTTATGAATTATGTGGCATTTCAAGTTCAGTTTTGGAGTTAGAGAAATGTAAGACTCTTCAGAGTTCTAAATGAGTGGCTGAATTAGACACTCAGCCCTGAAGTCTGTGCATATTAACAATGTGCAGTGTTCCTTCCTCAGTGTGGGCATTCAATTGGCTGGAAGAAGCTGCTGAAAGAGGAAGAAAATCTCAATGTATTTTCACATATCAAATTTACTTGACTATGTCTAATTATATCCTGCTTGACTGTCAGCAGAAAAAGTGCTTGGGTAATCTTTCAAGAGGATAATAAAATAAGCAAAGGAAAAAACAGCAATACTGGGGTTTTTTTGGTCCCTGTTCTGTCTGCAGGACAGTGATGTTTCCCTTTTAGGCACTTCCGGATGGTTCCATTTTTTTAAGCTTTGTGCTAAAATGCTTCATTTTCTCCCTTCTCCATTTTGCTGAACCCACTCAGAGTTTCCCATGACAAACTGCTTTTACTGGGACAATCACTTGACAGTCCCAATTCTGAAAAATACCTTTATGGAATTTTGAAAGGATACATTTATAGTCTGATCCTGAAATGTTATGGTTTCTTCTACTGTCTCGTGTAAGATGCTTATAATACAGCCCACTTTTTCCACTGTATTTACTTGAATCTGTGTATTCCACAGCTGTTGCCTTCACAGTAGACCTCCCAAATAAAAAAGCTGCTCATATAATTTAGGAGCCACAGATTGTATTCTCTTGTATATGAGAGCAAAATTGTTTCACAGTATTTATTTTCCAGTATCGAAGAAGGGAGGCTGGGGAGCCACCTCAGGCTTTCATTTTGTTGAATGTTTGTATTGTCAAATTCAAGCTCAGGATGATTATGATGGTGATAATACCGTCATTTCAAAGGGTTAACTTCCTTTTCTCTCCTAATCTTAGTTTATTGGCACATTATAATCCATTTCATAGGGAAGTTCATTGCTTTGTTGCGCAGTATCACTGGTTCTACACGATTGTGCAGTTCAATCTTCCTCTTACCTTGAGGGTCAATAGCAAAGGTTCCTGCAGTGGCCATTGCTCATACTGACTTATTTTCTATCCTCATCTTGGTAGCAGGCAGGTGAAATGTTTTGAAAACTCCACAGTCTGTTTAGCACTTCTTAACTCTTCAAGACTCACAGTCAATATGTCACAGTCTCCTCTGAAGTGCAGACCATGATGTACATGTAACAACCCATCTTGATTTTATTTCTAACAGATCTGATGTGCCTGAAATCAGTTCCAAATGTAGGATCTATCCTTCAAAAGGTGGAGGCTTGTTCTTTCATGTCACAGAAGACCTACTTAGCTTGGGGAATCATTCCTTTCCCTTGAAAGTTTTAATTCCAAGGATATAAATATGATGTTGAACTGTGCACTCCGGTGAACGTGATGAACACGAAGTCTGTAGGAGTCAAATTTTTCATTAGGTCATGGAAAACCCACACAGTGTTAGCAAGGGAATGTTCTGTTGTCTCGTCTCTGTCCCTACCATCAGTTGTGTGCACATCTCCTGGCTGTGGCCCTTGGACAGGCTGTGGCACGAGGGCTCTCCCTGTTACAGTGTTGATGGAGTTTGTAAGACATTCCTCCTTTTCACCGGGGGTTATAACAGTAACACAGACAGTACCACTGATGCATTTTGCATGAACACACAGAACAAAACCAGCATGGGGTTTCCTCTTCTCTGCCTGTAAATATTCTGGTATGAGAATGGCCTGTCCAGCATCAGCCTGCCTTGACTCTTCTCTGCCTTTCCAGAATGGCAGACACAAACTGTACAGCTATACTGCTCAGGCCTGACCAATTACAGATGAGAACTGTGGGGCAATTCTCAGAGCCCTCTTCCAGGATTTGTGGGTCCCTGGAAACCTATCTCCTTCCCTTCAGGACCTAAAAGAAAAGCCACTCTTTCTCTGACAGTCTGTTTTCTGGTTTCTTGTTATTTGTACTCCAGCTGCTGTGGGGAAAGATTCTCATTTCTTCGGCTCTGCCTGATGGACATCTGGAAGATAAAGCACAACACAAACGAGGTAATTACAATAAGCTTGGGTTGGCCAAAGCTGTTCTCTCCCTGAATTTATTCCAGCTCTTAGAAGAGGCATGTGAAACCTTGTCTTAGTTTCCACACTTGTTTTCATGTCATCTCCACCTGCACTTGAAGGTTGTTTGCCAATTAGTCTCAGGTTTAGTGCCTGCTGGTTCTTCCTTGGCAGGACCTAGATTCCTTTCAGCTCTTACAAAGGACATCTGATGGACAAGTGTATTCCCAGAGTGTCCCTTTTATGAAAATAAAATTGATTTACATCCTTCATTGGGTTTGAAGCATTTTGAAGAAGTAGTTGAGCAGCAGATGTAGCAGGACACTGATTCCACTTCCTGGGGGCAGAGATGCTGGAGGCCAAGTTTGTAGACAAGTTGGCTTCCTTACTCACATATAGAAAAGCTTGTTTTTCTTTTACTTTCTCCCTCTTGTATAAAGTCTTGATGTATTGAAAAACTGTAGTAAACAGAAGACTGTGACAATGTCCTTAGAACGTCTAAACGCACTGTCTTTGTTTGTGTGCTGTCCTCTGATTAAGTGTCACAGTTTTGTCTCTTATATGCAAAATAGATAATAAAATACATGCTTCCCATTTTCCATCTGTGTGCCAACATCTTCAGTTTTCACACTTGCAAGTGTAATGGCTGTTTCTGTCACTTTGATCACAAACTCCAAGGAGCACCTCATCTCCATGAGTCTGTTTGTAGGAAAACTATAAGAATAATTAGAAATTTTCATGCTGCTGAAGTAAAATAATTTTGAAGAAAGTGTAATGCACTTGTTGTGACTGAAGTCTGCAGTCTGTTTTCTCTGGGGGTAAAATGTCTACTGGCTGTTTACTCTGTCCTTGGCAGTACTCTTAATATTGTTATTTGTCCTCACCTTCAGGACCAAAATATCAGAATTCATCTTCTCACACCAGTTTTTCCCTTCTTGTTGAGTTGTCTCCCTGTCACCATCCCAGAGCTGTGAGCTGTGGGCAGTGTGATCCCAGTGTCTGCAGCTCTTTTAGTCTCAGCTGGGATAACTCTTGAGTTCATTCAACTGGAATTGAGGCTTCTGCACGTTCCTAAATCACTGAGAATACATTTTTAGAAAAGGCTAGTGACTGAAGGTGCAATTGTGGACATTTCTTTAAGAGGGGCTGAAATCATTGGTGCTGAAAGTGGGACATGGTTACTGAATCTGGCCAGTCCAAATGAATCCAGCTAAAAAACCCTGACTCCTATTATCCAGTGTAGGAGGGCAACAATCCTGCCACAGTCTCATTCCAGGAATGCAGTTCTGCCATCAGCCTCAGCCTCATTAGCTTCCCATCCAGTGCCAAATCTACAGAATTGTCTTCTTGCTTTCTGTGCTTTCTCATGAAACTGCTTCATCCTCTCTCACAGAGCTCACAAGCCCAGCCCCTACACTGCTAATCTTTTTAAACTGTTAAAAAAAAAAAAAAGTCTCTGTCTTCTAGTAAGTCACTTTTTCTCTTGATTGTTCATACACAAAGCTGGGTGTTCAGACTCGCAGTGTACAGGAATTTAGACATCCAGCTGCTTTCAGTAGGACTGTTCAAATTCCAAAAGCTGAGCATAAGAACAACTTCTCTTGGTCAGACCAAAGGTTTGTCTGAATCAGTGTCTTGTCTTGGCACTGACCAGCATCAGAGCAAAGGAAAGCAGGTAAGACAGTAAGTATTTAGTGCTATTTCCCCAAAATACCTCCCAACCTCCAGTGATTTTCAGAGCAGGAACTTCTTAAGCCAAATATAACCTCTGTGCGTTTCATTATCCACGCTGGATTTTCTTCCACTGATTTCACGATACCTCTTTTTGTATCCCTGTGAACTTTCAGCATCTTTTAGTTCTAGAGATGTATATTATGAAGCAATACCTGCTTGTGTTGACCTTGACCCTGCTGCTCTCTGGTTTTTGAGTCAGCCTGATTGAACACTCTCTTACCTATTTATCTTCTTTGTACTGCAATAACTGATTGTTCTCTCTACGCAGGAGACTCCTGTGTGTGGTTTTGTTCCCTGTAGAGAATCCATTCCATACCTGTGGTGCACATAAACATATGGAAGTGATGAATAGGAATTACGGTGTTGGCATTCTGCTAGACTGAACATCAAAATAAATATAATCTGTTAATTGATTAAATAAATGAATCCCAGGAAACATTTTATATCCTGGGTTTCAAACTAGTTCTCTCTTTGTATTTGAATCCTTAAACTTCTGGTCATAGTTCTTTAATTCCTACAGCATGAATCACATACAGAGTTCAACATCCAACAGATATATTGAGATAGGAATCAAGTCAGCTGTCAAGATAACACAAATGTGCATTAATATTTATGTAGTTATATATTTTTATAAAAATGTCATAATATTTTCTTATCTCTGAACTTTCCAGTCTGTCTATCTACCTGACTGGGTTACTCACCACTTACTCGCCTTTATCCCATTAATGGATTCAGCCCTTACCATCCTTTCTCTTTTCCTTTGTTAATATGCCACTCTTTTGTCTTCCTAAACTTGTTGTGACTACTTGTTGTGCATCAATGTAAAGGAATTGTTAATAAAAGAATTGTTAATATTTATCTGTGTAAGATGGAAGCTGTCTCAAACTCATGTTTATCACAGAGGAGAATTAATGCAGGGGAAGAGGAAGGTGCTTCTTGAAGGGATCTTTGGGCAGGAAAATGCCTTTGTGCCAGGGGCTGCAGCAGGGTGAGCACACAGGTGCTGTGGGGGCCTGCAGGAGGACGGAGCTCCTGACACATCCAGCATTCCGGGCCAGTCACCGTGTGTGAGCTGCAGCAGCCCTGAGGAGACAAAGCCCTTGTCTATGTGATGGAGAACCGAATACTGCAGAAAAAAGTCCCCCAGAGGAAAACATGGAGCTAGGAGAAAGAAAAAAGAGATAATTGCAGAAAAGTGTTAGTTGGAAGAGGTTTTTCCCTCTATTCTTTTCTGAAGAACTTCACTTTTTAGAGACATGTGGCAAAATGTCTTTAGACAGTTCTAACATATTTTATTCTCCCCTCATCTCTTTGCCGTTCATTCCTTTTTAATGCATTTCTTTTTTCACCTTTTCCTTTCTACCTTACTCTTTATTCTCATCAATCACCCTTTGATTGCTTTATATTTACCTTTTCTTTGTTTGGATCAGTTATTGAAAGTAAGCAACTGCTTTTGATGTCTCATTAGCACTTTTGGAAGCTTTCTTCTTGCCTCCCAGTTTCTGGTTACAGAAGTGTAACAGTTGTCATGAAACCAATATTGTAAATAATGGAATCTGTATGTTTGTGTAGCTGATGAATTTATAATATTCAGTTCCCATAATTAAGGCAAACCAAAAGGTTTTAGCATATAAATAAAAAACACTGCCTGCATTTTAAACTTAGGAAGCTGCACACAGGCAGCTTCAGAGCAGCCACCAAGCTGAGGTGCCAACAACAGAATCAGATATCACTGCTGGGAAAAAAATACATTCCTGAGTTTGACATCTGGGTCCTGCAGCTGGAGTGACTGGAAGAAGAAAGGGAAACAGTACAGACTGTCATCAAAAGGAGATAGTGGTGCCAAGTGGAAATTACATACAGATGCCACTTTTTTTGCTTAAGACAAATAGCTCAACTATATAAAAAGATAACAGCTACAACATCCAAAGATGTGCTCAGAAGTGCCTGATGGGTAAAGGAGCATTGCCTTTTGTGAATAGAACTGGCTCCTAACTAGAGATGTGAGATTTGGAGTTTGTAGTTGGATAGGTTTTAATGTTTGAACAAATAAGCTCCAAAGAATTTTTATGTATAGAAAGGCAAAGAGCAAACGTGGTGTATTGCAGCTACTTTGTGAGTAACTCATTGTTTCAGCTTTCCTGCCTGAGACTTCACTTTGCAGTATATCATCTTGCTCAGCACACCAGTTACCCACACAGGGCCCACTGTGAGCACTCTGCTGAAAAGCCCCAGCTCTCTGAGGCAAAAACCAGTCAGAATTCCTGAGGTAGCTGTGATGGCATCGGAAAGAGTGAAGAAAGCCAGTGTGCAGGAGACATTGGTGTCCTAATACAAACCTTATCAACCTGGTGACAGCCTCCACCGATTTGAGTAGGTGTTTGACTGAAGCTGTAATCTAATGTCCTTAATTACTGTGTAAGAGGATGAGTGAGGGTGAGGTAACTGGGGTGGGTGGGAATTGTAAGACTTGCTAGAAAGAAACGTACCTTAGTTCTGCCTTTTCTTTTTTAAGACTGCAGGAAAGCAGCGCTTTCACTGGCCCACTCTGTTCTGTCTCAAAAGCTTGATTATTAATAATTTTAGAAGGAAAAATTGTATTAGGATCCATTTTATGCACATATTCTTCACTATACCTTGCTTTTACTTCTAAATGGTATATGGTATCTGAATTTGTAACTGTATTTACCTGGGTATAAACCCTCTGGAATCACCTAGTGGATGGACTACTATTTTTCATTTCTTTGTGGCTATTTAGTGTCATAAATCCTTTCATTAAAAAAATGGTTGAAAGTTAATTTCATTTTATCTTACTGTGTCTCTTTTGTGTGCATATTAGGCATGCTCTGCTTCCTGTCTTTCCTGCAGTCAAAAGACAGCTTTCCTAGAACCATGTGACTCAAGCATGTCAACAGAGAAATAATGTGTTTTCACAAATAAAATTGAAAGAGTAATCTAGATTTAAGGTGTTTTAGGAGTTGCCTGGCTGATCAATATGATCTTCTGGGGAAGACAGATAACCAGGTATATCCACTAACATGTATGTGGTGCTGTGTGAGATGTAAGACCTGCTGTGAATACAAAAATGTGCCTTCTTTGCTGAGGAAACATTAAAATATCATTGGGGATGCTCTGACTAGACAAGGTACCAGCAACAGCTTGAACTAGGCTGTGACTGGAAAAGGCACTGGATCATGCTGTAGAAATAAAGAAGAAAGAGGAGGAAGATTTAGATTCTGGGTTTATTTAGGCCATAAATTAGTGGTGTAAATCTATTGTACAATGGAAAGATGTCCATGTACTGGAATCATTTATACCCTGTTGATGACTTCAGCAGGAAAGCTGAATAATTCAGGGATCCTAAGGATTTTCCCTTGTTTACAGAGGTTGTCCTAGGAAGGCTGTAGCACTCTCAGTGATACAGGTTTTTTTCTGTAAATATTTACAGGTTTTACCAATTCCAAGATCATCAAAGCAGGCATCTTTTACAGCATAAATCAACCTTGATTAATAAAACTGTGTCATTGCCATGGTATCTTATTTTAGAGATAGAGTAAAACTTCTTTCTGTTACCAGACCTTCAGTTGATCCCGGACTACTTTACTCAGAATAGTAAATGGGAATGCTTTATTTGGGGAGTGAGCAGTTGGTGGCTTTGAAATTCCGTCTACTGAAATCCTTGAGGAAAGGTGAGGCAGTCTGGCAGCCAAATAACTTCTTCACTGCAGAACACTTTACATAACACACTGCAAATCGAAAGGAAGAAAGCTTGAGCCCGAATCAATTCTGTACAAACAAGCCCATTTCTTGTTCAGCTTGTATTCTAACTCCCTGTCTCGGTGCTGCCTGAAGCAGCATCAGTGGGTCTTGCCACCATTTGGGAAACCTGTGTGTGTTTGAGTCACACATTGTTCTTGCAGCATTTCCTTAGGCTAAGGCACAGAACTGAAAGAGCTCCATTTAAGAGAGTCTGTGAATTACTAGGAAACGAGCATCAAACTCGGCATTATCTGAAGATGTTTGTTAACATGCAGGATGTTCCTTAAGGCCTCTATCTTCAATAAGAAGAGTTTTTATTCAGGATTGCTTTTTGAAAAAGCAAGTGTTCTTTTGCATGCATGTCACTATGGGCCCGACTCAGGCAAAGAGCTGTTTGATGCTCTTGGCACATGTCTGCTCCTCCAGTTCCCTTGGATATCCTGCTATAGGCAGCTTTATTGGGAAGAAGATTAGAACTTTTGAGTAGTGAGAATGGGCACAACTTACAACCTTGCTACTCACCTGTAAACTACTCCTGTTCTATTGCAAAATTGTAACAAAAAATCATAAAAAACGGTTCTCTACTGGGAGATCTCTAGAAGAAAAAAAATGTGGAGAGAAGGCTCTGCACTTTCACCAGAAGATCAACTGTGACCCTTCCCTTATCTTGATAAAAATACTACATTTCGTATCTAGCTGAGAAAAAGAAAATAACATTGTATGAGCAGTAGGCTCTGCTTTCTGAAGAATGTTGGGCAAAAGGATTTGTTGTTATATAGTGGAATAACAAGCAGCTGGAGAAGGAAGTTTTAGCAGGACACCAACTCAAAAGTACAGCCATGGAGATAAATGAAGTTGAAGTTTTCCTATCAAAATATCAGATTGCGACCCAAAGTATAATCAGTTGGGTTTGTGTGTGTGTGCCTGTGTGCTTGCATGTATGAATGAAGAACACAAACATCTTTCCAGAAGAATGTTCTTAGCTGAGGCCTTGCCTACAAAATTTGCACCAGGGAAAGAAAATCTAGGTAGTTGTACTGGTGTAGTTTTCTGTAATATTGGCAAAATCTCAGAAATGGCTTAAGAGAAGAGCGAATAATTAACCTTTAGACTGTGAAATCCTTAAACTGTGAAAGACATCCGCTAAAAAGTTAAGGAAGCATAAAGTGGAACCTTGTGCATTCAGAGACAAAAGGGATCCATTCATACACTCACTCTTGTGTTCTTTGTGTAAGCATCATCCTCATCTCTGGGGAAGCAAAGACTTAGAAGAATACAAATGCTATATTCATGTTTATCTAATTAATTTATAGAGAGATTCCTAACTCAGCAGACAGTTTTTGTATATCAAAGTCAAAGGTCCTAACATATGTCAGCCTTCTTACACAGATGTTATACATTTGATATCTAATAAATAATTAAACATTGGGCTCAGCAAAGCTACACAGAATATAGATTTGGCCTACTTAATATCTGGAAAGCTACTTATTTTTGACAAACAAAAAATAATTTAGATACCACAGTGATTTTAATATGGCAAAGTGAGGTTGTTCACAAGATGTGCTTTGGAGGATATGTCTATTTATGTTAATTCAGTGCCAGATCAGACTGGGATATTGAATACATTACCATTTTGCACTTCATGCCCACTGACGTATAAATCTTGTATTATTAGCTTTTTACTTCTGGTGGTTTTATCAATT